CATTATATAAATTCCTGTTTAAAACATATACAGTACCCATGCCGCCATTGGTAATGATATCCTTATTGTGTCAGTCTAGTTTGATGATTAATCTCGCAAACAAAGAAGTGTTTCTTTCAAATACTGATAAATGGGAAAATTGAACATAAATGTGAAAATTATCACCATGGAAAACGGAGGGAAATCATATTAAATCATAATATTTCCTTGTTTTAGGATGCGCTATTTAAGCTAATACTGCGGTACAAAAAATGATTTCTTTTAGAAGGAGGTTTGTCCCAATAATGTAATGTAACATACATAGCCGCTTTCAAACGGATATAAATTTGTTTTGATCATACCAGTTCATGCAGATTATGCCTGGATGGGATCAATTACAAAAATGTGACATCATCTGAATACGCCGTACCAATCGCCAAACGCCTAGCTATGTAACACTAAACGTTGGAAGCAATTMAAGCAGAAAAAATAGAGTGGTTTTCCGTCAACCATGAAAGCACAATAAGTCTAATAGTTACTAGCTTCTCATAGACCAATACTAATAGAGTCTAGTCTAGAGTAGAMYTGTATCCGATTGATAGGTATCAACATATTCATCACAAAAACAAGTTTTTTTTATGTTGATTCTAGTAGGTTTTATTGACTATTACTACTTGCTGCTAACTAATTGGTCTATTTCTTTTCATGGTTGACGGAAAACCACTGTATTCTTTACAGTCTATCATAGTCTTTGACATATAACTCGATGATTATTTCCCTAAAATGGATTATGATTTCGAGTATGTCAACTATGTTGCTAGCTTTAATTGTCTTTTTGTTTTGTTGTTGTTGTTTTTAAGAGTTAGGTTGTAAGTATGGATTTTATATTATTCTATTGCATCTATTTCCAGCACCAAAGTTTCGCTGGAAGCCCTCTTTGAACATCACTATTGTAGAAGGTCAAAGTGTAAAATTACGATGCAGAATATCAAAAGTGTCTGCAGAGGGAGCCGAATATGAGTGGTTCAAGAATGGAAAGCCTATCTCTACGCTTAAGTCTTATCACCAGAAAATGAGGTATTAGTAACAAATCCCCTTGTGACATCATTGTGACACGTGACTGACACGTGATCTATTTTCAACCTGGTTCAATTATCATTTTCGAAGTTCAAATTCCCTGTCTGTTGGATTCAGGGTATATTTAATAGCCGTTTTTGGCCCTATTTACTACAAAATAGTGTTAATTAAACAATAGAAAACAATAGAATTAGCATAACTTAGCAGTTTTAGTGTTTGTACTCTATATTAGAAGAATATACTTTAGCTTTCTCTTATGTCATCTTTCATTGTTTCAACATTAAGGGTTAAGAAGATGCGATACTTAAAGATTAAACGTACTACACCACAGGACGGTGGAACATACACTTGTGTGACTAAAAATTCCTGTGGAACTTTGAAAGGAATGATAGAATTGGTGGTTAGGAAAGAAAAAAAAGGTAAGTTTTTTCAGACAGAAATATTTTGCAGATCAATGATGAATTGATGATCGTCGCGTTTCATAATAAGCTCAAAAGTGGGTTCGAATGCAACCCTAATATGCAAAGCCATGAGCGACTCAATGCCGACATTCCAATGGATCCGTTGGTTTCTTCCAAAGTTCAACAGAATGGGAAACTGCACAGAGCCACTCGGGTACGAGGTCGTCAAACAAACGCCTTCAGATGATTCGCGTCATATTATTGTATCGAAGAGAAACGGGAAATTCACTTTTCATAGCGTTAAGTTGACACTAGTGAACGTTACAAAACGTGAACAAGGGAAATACACCTGTCTCGTTGGGAATGCAGTTGGTTATAACATCGAACACGTTTACCTGAAGGTGGTCACACAAGAAGGTAAGGTATGATGGTGTGTGATGGTCGGTATAATGGACTAAATCTTTCGTTATTCCTTACTTTAGTAGCGTATTAATAACACTGATGTTTTCCATGTAATGATGATTATTAAGATCAGCTATGATGATAGTGATTGAGGTGATGACGTCATGATGCATAGTACGGGCTTATCGCATTGTACACTGACAATTCCATAAAATTTCAGCTCCACCAAAGTTTGTTAATCTTCTTGCGATGAATCGCACCAGCCGTACTTACAGAGAAGGTGGTAAAGCTGCCTTGAAATGTGAAGCGACTGGAGATCCCCAACCTGTCATAAAGTGGACCAAACCTGATAATCTCCACCTGCCACATGAACGAAATCCTTACGATTATGTACTAAATCTGAGAGCACTAGGACCACAGCATAGTGGCTCTTACACTTGTAATGTATCGAATACCGTTGGGTGGTTGACATACACTTACAAAATTACTGTAAACTGCGGTAAGTTGTTATATAGATATCTCTCTAGGATTGCATAGACGAAGGGGTTGAGGAACTTCGAATTGAATGGCCCCCTTTTAATTAGTTGTATAGGTCAACGACGCATGGGCATGCGCAGGGGTTGCATGAGGGGGAGGGGGAAAGGGTTGGGGGGTTCCAGCTGGGGTTCCAAAGTGTTGGACCATCCGAAAATGTTACGCTATTGATTTGCATAAATGTTTTTTTAAAGTCTTTTTTATGGCAAGAAATGCAGATTCTTGAACCTCTGGATCCGTCTCTGCACCCTGAACACGCTCCTAAAAAAAAGTTCCTAAAAAAAGTTACGACTGCACACTTTTTAGAATTGTTTTTTTCTCTTCCATGTTGATGGATCTACATACCCTTGTTCTCGTAACAGGAGCATTCAATCAATAACGAAAGAATACAAACATGGTACACAACACAAATAACAAAACCAATAACAACAAAGCAACATCGACACTAACAATAACAGCACTTTAGTCAGGACCGGTCCTTTGAATCGTGGAAACTCTTTTGCTGCAATTGCTAGATTTTTTTGTGTTTGTACTGAAATCTCGTCAGCACATGAGAAATTCAACGTTTTTAGACGTCGTTTTTTATTGTCAGGATTGTCTGCACGTATTGCTCCGAGGATCAACAGTATAACCAACAACCAAACAGTCACAACTGGAAGAAAAACTTGGTTAATGTGCACTATACTGTACAAAGAATACGACGACACACTTAGGCTCAATTGGTTTTTCCAAAAAAACGGTACCAAAGAAAAGGTAGACTCAAAGTTTTATCGTAATTCAACGTTACCAAATCATTATGAAGATGTCTTGCTACGAGTGGAGTTTTTTTTGGAATTCCATCGAGTAAATAAAGACAACGAGGGATGGTATATATGTCACGCAGAGAACAAGATTGGTCTGCATAATACGAAGAGAACATACTTGAGAGTATTGGACCCAGTTGTTACAGGTATATACAGTAAATCCTATTTACGTTGTTTGGTTGTAAAGACACATTTTTTTAAATTTGTAATCCCTTTGAACACGGTCATCAAAGAAACAACAAACAAACAAACAAAAACAAAAATGACGCCAACTTTTTCTTTTTTTCAGAGCCACCAAAGATTATTGTAGACCGCGCGCAAAGGCGTGAAAGGACTTTAATTTTAGTTCCTGTCGGCAATTCAATAAAAATGGACTGTTCCGCTATTGGTTATCCTCGGCCCACTGTCAAATGGTATAAGAATGGCAGGCTCTACACCCACTCAGTTGACGGCCCTATCTATCTTAGTCCATATCAATATGTATTGAGTTTAAGAAATGTAGTTCCTGGAAACAGTGGGGTATACACTTGTAATGTTTCAAATCATTATGGTTGGTTCAATCACACTTACAAAGTTGATGTAAGAGGTGAGAGAAGGGTACCTGTAAAGTCTGACCCCTTTTCGAAGTTTAATATTCGTTCGTTACGTTAATTCATTTCTTATTTGTTCGTTTAAATGTTCATTTACTCATTCAATATTTCCTTCATTCTTGTTTTATTTTTCATTCATCCATATCCATTATTTTCGATCACCTACCTAATCATTCGCTCTTTCAATTCTATTTATTTACTTTTCAATGTCATCCGTTTGTTCACTACCCCACTGAACGACCCTCTTGCAATTGATTATTAAATACGCGGTGATTACTGACGACTGCGCGGTTAATCTTGAAGCCTATAAAAAGTAATATTGTACCGTATTGTATATTGTACAGATGAACACTTATAAGTTATGTAACCTCTGTTGTCATTTTGCAGTACGCGTTCGCGCCAAACCTGTCATACAGAAGATGGAAAACGTCACAGCCTTCGTGGGTACGAATGCAACCCTAATATGCAAAGCCATGAGCGATTCGATGCCACACTTCCAATGGATTCGTTGGTTTCTACCAATCTTCAACACAACAACAAACATCACAACGCAACCGTACGATGTCGTCAAACAAACGCCTTCAGATGATTCGCGTCTTATTATTGTATCAAAAGACAGCTACAAGTTAATCTTTGTGAACATTACAAAGAGTGAACAAGGGAAATACACTTGTCTCGTAGGGAATGCAGTTGGTTATGACACAGAACATGTTTACCTGAAGGTGGTCACACCAGAAGGTAAGGTATGGTGTGTAATGTCAGTATCACAAGGAGCTGGATTTTTCATTAATTGTTTCTTTCCTTGTAATGATGATAATTAAAAGATCAGCTATGATGACAGTCATTGAAGTGATGACGTCATGATGACGGTGATGACGTATATCGATGACGTACTGACTGTAGTAGTGTGACGTAAGGAAGATACAGATGGCTTACCAATAATGCAACTCAGCGGTGATGATAGTCGATAATTGATTGATTGATTGATGTGAATGATATAATCAAGTATGGAGATCAAATCACAGGAAACTCAAATTTATAATGTATGGCTATTGATTCTCATTTCAGTCCTGTCCAAAACTACGAACAATCGACGAAAACCGGGTAATTTCTTCTTTTTAAAATATTTAAGCGAGTTTAAGGTCTTCTTCAGTGTTATCGATAACATCGTGAGCGACGTTACATCAAGTAGGCTAAAAACGACTTTGAATTTTATTTCATGCCCAGAGCCACCAAAGAGGCGGGAGAAAACTCTCCTTGTAGTTTCCATCGGCAACCCCATAAGAATGGACTGTTCCGCTAGTGGCTATCCTCGTCCCACAGTCAAGTGGTATAAGAATGGTCGTTCATATAAAGTGCACTCAGTGCACGGCTCCGTATTTTTTGGCCCCTATCAGTACGTGTTGCGATTAACGAATGCAGTCCTTGAAGACAGTGGAGTATACACTTGTAATGTTTCAAATACTTTTGGATGGTTTGAGCATACATTTGAAGTTAATGTTACAGGTGAGAGTAAATATACATTTGTTGCACGTACAGGAGTCTAATTCATCCATTATTTTATTCAATCATTCCCATTCATTCATGCATTTCTTCCCCTCTCATCCGTTCATCTTTAATTGGACCATTACATGTTCGGTTATCGTAGCGGATTTCGTATGAGTGGGAAACGGACGGTACCGTACTGTAACCGTAATCGTACTGTAACTAAATTCTAGTGCCCCATTGGTTCACCAAAATTGTGAAGGCCAGGTCCGGTAACTGTGCGGTAACCGTGCGGTAACGGTGTCCCACTCATACGAAATCCGCTCTATCCACACATCTTCCAGGACATACTTTTTTTCTTCACTTCTTCATAGTGCCACCAAATATACTCGAAACCTGTTTTTATTAGCATTACTTGATAACCACATACAATTTAAGGTTTGTTGCCATTTTCTAGATCGCGCTCTCGCCAAACCTGTCTTGCAGAAGATGAAAAACGTCACAGCGTTGCTCGGAGCGAGAGCCATCATCAAATGCCAAGCCATGAGCGACTCAAAGCCACACTTCCAATGGCTGCATTGGTTACCAACCATCAATACTGCATCTGATAACGTCGCTAAGAAGCCGGCTTACGAAGTAATCAAGAAAACGCCTTCACGCTACAATCGAAGCTTCGGCAACATATCAAAGCGAAACGGGAATTTGACGCGCACGTTTTACGTCGACGGGCTGATCATTGAGAAGGTTACTCAAAGCCAGCTAGGAAAATACACGTGCCTAGCAGGGAATGATGTTGGCTATGACTTCCAACACGCTTACCTCATTAGTTCTTAATTTCTGAACCATTTTCTCTATTTTTTTGTTAAATTTATTGGTTTATTGGTTTGTTTAAATGAAGATTGTAATAAAAACAACGCGATAAATTGACGAAAAAACAAAACAAAAGCGCGAGATTTCTTTTGCAATATTTCTTCAAGCTCTCATGATCATTCGCCTCTCTTTCTAACAACCTCGTTGACCCTTGTTCCCCTGGTTTTAAAGAAGCTGGGAACTCGGTTGTTTCAGTGAAATCAGACTTACTGACCTTAAATCGCAATGAGTGTGCGGTTCACGTTTTGCAGAGACTTCTGATATAGATCAGTTTGTACCAACTATCTACACATAGAAAGGAAGATAATACCTAATTAACTCTCGATACAATTCAAACTCGGAAAAAAATATTCTTCATGAGTGCATTTTTGACTGCTTCGCGACTATTAGTAAAAGTGTAAAAGGTTGAATTTTTATTTAATGACATTACTTGCTAAGAGCCATTAGTGAGGATACGACAGGCTTCTGCTGTTTATGTGTGACGGGGCACACGGGAGCATAAATATTAAGCAAAATCGAAAAGATTGCTTTTTCCCGTACTTCTGCAGCGTCTTAGTCTGAGTTTACTCGAGAATAAACCGGATGTACGCTTGCTATGTTCAGCGCCTGAACTCAAATAGATAAATAGAAGACGCCAACAACAAATAACTCTTCGACCGCTTCGCAATCTTCGACTACGAAACGTGAACAACTTCACGCCAACCGACTTCATCTCGTACGTTTTCTTATAAGACCTTATAAATAAATAATACTCGAAAAATCATCAACGATTGGTATTTCATTTGATAGAGCGCTAAGAGTCATGCGCAGTCGTGCACACTTGTCAAGTAACATCAAGCAAGCAATCTTAATCTACCGTCGGAAAGTCATTATGACGGCCTTGAATTGTGTATAATGGAAGTAATAATTGTCGAACAGGTGGGAAAGAGGAATAATGTATTAATATATTTTGCTTAAGGGTAAACGTTTCGCAAATAAAAAGTATAGACAAAAACAACAGCAACAATTGATCAAATTGACGACCACAAGTAGAAACAAAAGCAAAACTAAAGCATAAATTGATAAAAAAAGCTTGTTATATTATCGTGGGAGAATGTTAAATGCAATGACGGCGTATTGCATAAAAAATCCGATTAGATGGCAATGCAAACCTTGCCTAGGCGTCTAATGATTTTCTGTGACTAAATGTTTATTTTTCACTGTTTATTTTTAATGAGAGCTAAGATTCGTGCTCATTTTTTCAACTGGATAATATGTTCAACGGAAGAAAATATTTCATTTTCGCCCGCGACAACATTAAATCGAATTTAGAGATATTAAAGTATAATTTAGTGGGGATGAGATGAGACAGATGTCGCTTAATTCTTGAAATAAGAGAAAAATCACTTGAAATGAAAGGAAAAAATTGCCTTCCGCTCTTGTTTACGAACTTCAAATGAAAGCATCAATTCTCCTAAAACTTGCAGCTATTTATTGCTATATAAGAAAATGTTGTTTCTCATTTAAACACAAGATATTCATCATGTATACTTTTTATAATCAAACTAAAAACAACAATCTGCATCCTACCTCGTGAATAAGGTGTATCTTTTCTTCCTGATATATTGAACTGTAAACTGTCAGTTGTCGCTTTTCTTAGGTATTCCTCTCCTTTCTTTCTAAAAGAAAATAGATCGTTGCCGAACGGCGGCAATAAACATTTTTAATAACTACAGTTCATTACACTATAAAAGCGACGGGTGTTTAAGCTCTATTTTGACGTAATCACGATGAATGATTTCCACAGACCCTCTAAGATGCCATTAGGAAACTCATTTGTGATCAAAGGACGTCAAATTACAGAGATTATAACTGGAAGTCACTCT